AGACGGGATGGCTCGGAAAAAAATGGACTGGGAAGAGGAACTTGAAAGAGCTGAGAGCTCCCAGGCCTCTGTGAGCTCCCAGGCCAAGGCTTTGTACCTGTGCTTGACCTCAGGCGGGGGTCGGGTTAGCATGCATGTCGCTGGTCAGGTGACGTCCTGTTAATGCCAAGGAGGCGTTCCAGGTGGCATTCCTCACAGAGTGTGGATCCGTGGAAATAGAAATAGAAATAAGGAAAGCATCAAGGGAAAGGAAAAATAAACACAAGAAGGGCCCAGACGGACATGGGATCGAACATTAAATTTAACTCAGAGGGCAGCGCAGGGTGCCCCTCCCTATGCAGGGTTGGGTGCTGCTGGGAACCGGGGCTGGGCCTGTTTCCCAGCAAGTCCTCCCGCCTCCCCCAGTGTGGGCTTCTGTGAGCGAGGGAGGGTCACCGTGCCCTGGGAAGCTCCATCCGCTGGTGGCGGCCGTGGCCCCGGGACCAGCAGTGGCCAGTCCTTCTTCCTGGGGCTCTACCTCCCTCGGCTGGGCTCTCTAGAGCCACACAAGCCCCCCCCCCCGAACCTGGGGTGAGCAGGGGATGGCGGCCTTCGATGCTCTATTGCCTGATGGCCGCTGGTCTCTCCCAGGCAAGGGGGTGAGAGTCATGTTCAATGCTGAGGCTTGAAAAACCCCAGGAATATACACCCTGCACGTGATGTGGTTAAGTGGAGGGAAATAATAGGATCATGTGAAATTTGAAGTTTCCCAAGAAAAACACTGTTTTGTAAGTTCAGGATCGCCCTGACTTCCTGATACCAGCGCGGCCTTCGCTTTCAGTGTTATTTTATTTTGGGGTGATTCCTGGCGTTCTGTCTATCCACGGGGCAGCCCCTGGCCTCCAGGAAGCCCCCGCCTTACACCAACCCGCCAATCCACTTCTCCCCTCCGTTCTTTCTTTTAGTGCGTGTTTCTTTTTTCTTTCTGCTGCCAAAAGCTTTATTGTTTCCATTTGGTCCAATGCCTGGGAGAGGGCTCCAGGGCGGTTAAAAGGATGCCTAGTGATTTCAGGGAGAGGCGCAGGCAAAAGCCAGACACCAAGGGGACGCAGAGGGGCCCCTCGAAGGCCTCTGGGCTCCAAAGGCCCCTAGGAGTGCGTGAGGGTGAGCCTTTGGAGAGATAACTGCCCCGCCCAGCCTGGGGGCAGGCAGTCTTGGCGGTGAGCCAGGTGTCACCCATCTTCCCCATGAGTTTCACCTGCTGGCCCAGGGCGGGGTTCGCCAGGAAGCCACAGGCCTGAGGGTCTGCGCGGGCAGAACCCAGGGCATCCAGGTCCAAAGGCCTGGGCCAGGCTCTCCAAGGCCATGGCGGCTTCCGAGGCGTCCCGAGTTGTGCCCCACTCGGCCAGGGGTGGCCTCGGCACGTCCTGGAAGAGAACACGGCCACGGCCACCGCGCTGGTTTCGCATCTTGAAGGGACGCTGCGCGCCCTCGGCTTCTCCACGGCCAACTTGGGGAGGCCCCCCGCCCCCCAGAGCCCATCGCCACTGTCAACATAGAAGCCCAGCGACAGGTAGGTGTGGGGTCGGGGATGCAGGGCGGCCAGGCGGTCACTGCAGCCGCCGCCCGGGGGTCATCCCGGCGAATGCGGGAGCTCGCCGCTGCTCGGCCATAAGGGGGGAAAGTCGGAAAACGTGCTGGCTGGACTCGGAGGCCGAGGATCGCTGACGTGGTTCCAAAGTAGAGACTGGAAAAGAGGTTGGAGGGTGTTTGGGGGCTGGAAGAAGGGTGTCCCTGGGTCCGACCCGTCCAAACGCTGTTGAAGCGAGAGACGGCCCCGGGGCCGCAGAGGGCGCTCGAGCTTGTTTCTAAGAAGAGCTGTTAACAGCGCTTCGCCTCGAGACAAGGCCCGTCGCTGATTTCTGGTCTGCAGTCTCCGCTGGCTCCCAGGGGCTTTTCCAGTTTCCCTGGAAACTCTCCTGAGGGTCCCAAATTGTCACCTTTTCCTGTTTTCCATCGGCCATTTCAAGCAATTGAAAGCTCGCCCCACCTCCTCCCGCTCCCACCGCCTACATCTGCGCGCAGAAGGTGACCCCATCTTCTTTCTCGGGGCTCCCTCAGCGCCCCGGTCCGCGGCCTCGCGTGGAACTGTGGTCACTTCCATTCATTCTTTCCCGTCGGTGGGCAGAGCGGCTCTTCCGTCGACGGCTCGTTTCCCCGCACTCCGGGCGCCATGCTCTCTAACTTCCACCCATCGCTCCCGCACTTGGTTTGAGCCCCGACCCCTTTTTCTCCGTTGGCGTCTTTAGCATGTTAACTCGCTCAGGCCTTAGATAAAGCCTGTAAGCACACGCTCAGCCCCGCATGCTGCTCACTGGCTTCTCTCTCCGCAGGGGGCCTTCATTAGTTGTCCAAGCTCCCTGTTCCGCCCTCATCAGCGGCTGTTCCTTACTCAGGCCCCCAGCCTGGCTGCTGTCCCCACCATTCCACCGAAACTGGTCTCCCCAGAGTTGCCAGCAACTTCCCGCGGTGAAACGCATTCCACTGCTCCGCTAAGGGGGGTGGCCGCCCCGCCACGTGCCCAGGGCAGGAAGTGCCCAGGTCTCCCTGCTCCAAAATACTGCAGACAACGACCAGACCTTAAAGTCAGCAACACACAAACCACTACGTCTAGGGCCGCCCCAGCCGAAGAAATGCTCAATGTCCCCCGGCCCCCTGGTGTGTTTTTAAATTTTTTAATTTTTTATTGTGGCAAAATACACATAACAAAATTTAGTATCTTAACCCTCTTTAAGCTTAGAGTTCAGTGGTACTCGATACATTCACAATGTTGCACAACCATCACCCTCATTGCTTAATGTTTTTGAAAACCTTTTAGAATTTAGAATTAAAAAAAATATTAGCATGGGACTTTCCAGTAAAGATGAGGAGTGTGGCAGGGTCATGGCTCCCCTCCT